TACTTGATAAGCACGAACGAATGTACTTTATTTGGATTTCGAAATCACGCATACAACAAGTACAAAGGAATCATTAGTTCATTTAAACACCACCGGATACAGTACTATTGTTCACTGTCATACTTCTACATTTAGTGTAATTATGGATGGGATATATTGTTGATCCAATAGTCCATCGTACACAAGGATTGGTAGAAAGCCCAGACATCAGAGAAGCTAAATACGTCCACCAAATATTTGGAGATTTTAATTATAGAAAAGTCTCAGGGTTTAGGCAATAGATGTGGCTTCATTCAAAACACATTTCTCACGTTGATTAGAGTAAACATTAGAAGTGTCTTTGTGATAAAGATAAACAGTAGTTAGTAATCGAGCTTATTTATTACTCGTGTATCTCATCGGACAAGTTCCCCTTAGGTTACAAATGCATTATGAGGACAAATAATGTTCGATATGACATCATAATTTGATTCTTCTGAAAGAGTTTCCTCAAATTTTTCAAGAAGGTCATTAAATAGTATAGGATCATTTAAAAAATCAGCATTTGTCAAAACTACAATTGTTTTCCCACCATGTCTAGTCTCATTTAACATATTTTCATCAGATTTGTAAGGAATTTCATCAGAAAAACCATACCTGGTACAATAACATGAGGAATCTTATAAGTCAATTGATTAGAAACTGTTGTCTCGCATGGATTCTGAGTTTCATTTAACTCTGAACTGTTATATGACTCTTTACTGTCTTTTGAAATCGTTGATGAAAATAAATTATCATTATAAATACTCAACATAACAGAATCAGAATTACAAGAGTTAATAGTTGCAGCAAGATGAACAATAGTATCACAAACTGATTGAATATGTCCAGTATCACCACATTTAAAGCACTTAGAATTACGAAATTTACATGAATTGAAAGAGTGAAATTTGTCACAGGACAAATAATGACCGAACTTGTGCCCATCATCCTGAACTGCATCACAACTCAATAAATTATCTACATAACCTTGAGTATGCACTGGGTTTGGGTGACGTTATGTAGTGTTATTCTTTATAACATCATGAATTGTTTTACGAAACCTTCCTTTACCGCATTCGAAATTTGTATACTTAACATAGTCTAGCAGTAGTTCCTTGAGAGCTGTATAACGAAGCGGTTATCCAACCAATAATTGTTACTCAATAATTAAATATGAATTACATTAGGTAGACAAATTGACTAAGAAGATAAAATAGTCGCTAGGTTGAACAAGAAAAGGTTTCCAATCATATGAGAATATTGTTTTATTCTTTCTAAATCGACCACGTACGGCTTATTTGAAAGGCAATATTCAGTTCTAAAGAAAATACTAAAAACAAAGGTATCAAGTATTTGTGGGGTTTGTATCAACTAACGATTCCTTTGTACTTGTTGTATGCATGATTTCGAATTCCAAATACAGTACGTTCGTGCTTATCGAGTACTTCTTTATCCACTTGCGTTATTTCTGGGATTCCTATTTAGTACTATGACACACATGCTTCTAATTATCATAGAACTACCTGTTATAACACAGTGTTCCCAGTTCTGGAAGAGTTCTTCAACTTACAATCCAAAGGAACACAATCTTAGTTTAAGGAACAAAATTAATATAGTAGGTGCCATAACATATTACAGAAAAGAATGTATATGTAGTTTATGGGAAGCAGATAAATATAGTAGAATCTTGGGAATAACGTAACAGAGTATGCAAATAATATTACCATCTCGACTGTAATCAAAACTTCAGTGGATTAAACATTTGAAGAGGTTAAGAAAAATAAATTACAAAAGTGCTGTCATGAAGGGATTTCCATACAAAATCACATAAAACTTCCTAAATGGAATTTACGAGTTCATAGTTTTATAAGACGCTACCGTCAGAAAACATTTCATAGTCAAGGATCTTGAAACAAAGTACGTCAAACGACAAGAATGAAGGGTTTCTAAGATATATTTGGATAATAATCAATGTTTTCAATTATAAGTAACGACAACTAGTTGTCGTAAGAAATGTACCTATTCGTGTATCCACAGTAACCTGATGGGAATGGTTAGTCGAGAATCTTTATCTTGAAGAGTTTTTAACTTTCAAAACTCCTAGACGGATGGATTTATCTCCTTCATTTACGTCGTACGTACGGATATATGCCCAATGAACAAAACGTTTAGAGACAGTTATTTAGTAATCAAGTGGTACTGTGGTGAACGAGAACACAAATGGAGACAATCGAATGTATTTAAACACAAAATTACAGGATCACTTAGTATGATCTGAGAACCATGCAATAAATAGTTCGTTTGCAAAATGTCAATCAGTCGTCTCAAACATCATTGTTCTTTCATTTCCACATCCATCACTATATTCTTCGATCTTTTTAGCCTTCTGCCACTGGCATTTCACTTTCGGCTGGTGATAGATACTACTTGTATCTGTCGACATCAATAACACACACCACAATACTAGTAGAAACAAAATTAAGTATGAGCATTACAAATATCTAAATAGTTTGTAACCAGGTCTATACAGTAAACAGGTGTCCAGAATCGTCCATACGTCAATCACTTTGCTGAGGGTAAGCACTCAAATGAGAAAAGACATGTTTTTTTGGAATTCGAGAATCCTGCGAAAATTACTTGTTAGGTCACTGAGACTAGTGATTATATTTCTTAACTGCTACCTTCTAGGGTTATTCAATTCACTGAATCAAATAGTAACAATCAACCATGCAGTCAATAATTATAGTAACCAAACATACTGAGGAATTCTTATGCACCTTCGGGTATACCGTGAAAGCAAATTGTTTATTTACTGATCACAGATTTATTCTTATAACAGTCTCTGGTTTTTTAACTAGACTGGAATAAATATTATTTTATTATCCACAAAACAGTTCAATGAACTGTGTTTACAAGTAGAAAGGTGACATCGACATCTATAGTGGCCAATACATGGACGGTCGTTACTTGGCTTATGGATATTATTCGTTTATCTTTTCCAGTTGGTAGGATCACCCAAAACGAATATTGTGAAAAATAGCATTTCACTGTCAGTCGTCATGAACAACAGTTACTCACACAGAACAGCAATTATCTTCAGGCAATAATTTACAGAAAATTGTACGGATTAATGACAATGATAAGTACTGTGGTGTGTTACATATGCAGAGAAAAATAAGTAGTATGTATCAAGAATTTGAAGTAGGATTTTTACTGACGAAAGAAACAGGAGTGGGAGAACGATGAAGCTTGTAAGGAACAACCCAAGAAAAATGTGCAAATGGTAAACTCAATATATTGTTTTCATATTTTACAAGTGCAGTGTGTGATTTCTTCGAAACAATACATTGATTTACTCCGAACAAGTCTTCGTTTATTACAATACCGTCGTAACTTCCGATTGTTGAGCTCTTATCGTCTTTTGCACTGACCACGATAAAAATTTGTACTGGTCGGCAGAGCGGGAAATGGACGAAATAAAGTCGACAGTGGATTTGAAATCTGAATTCCGTACCGTCTTATATCCGAAGACTTTAATGTCTTTGATAACATGAATGGAAATTTTGGTAGATTTTTTACGATCTCAAACCACTAATTATTCGTACAGTTAAATGAACCCGTTGTAGCTTAATTTAAAGAACCATGAAGATGAGTCTTAATCTCACCTTTTTACTGCTCATGTAGTCATGAACATATAAACACTCTTTAGTTTCTGGTAAGCAATAAATTAGTAAGGTGGGAACTTATAAAACCTTGAAAATTACATGTCAGCAAGTGCGAATATAATAAATTTCATTTAGTTAAGGCTAACATATTTATCTAGCCTATTCTGAATAACTTCTTCTTGGGAAAATGTGGAACAGTGGGTATCACTTTAAAGGGAGAAAAGTGGATTAACAGACTGAAATTGTATTAGGGACCTTATCACCAGGTATCACAGACAACGTTTATTACATTTTATTGTTAATAAACGGAGCAATCCATAAGGCTTATCTCGTACTTTTGAAACGTATTAGCTGGAAGTACATTAGTCCCTGTGGTGATATTTACACTAAGAATCGAACCTAATACCTGCTATTGTTAACGTTAACGCTTTGCTCACTAAGCTAGAGAGACCATATAGCTACTAACTTTTTAATCACGCATACTGTTAATTCGCAAGTGTTGACAATGTCCTGTTGTCAACGGGTAAGACTGAATTTTTATCAGTTTTTGTTAGCATATGTTAACTTTGAGTGAACACCAAGAAAAACTAGTCAAAATCTAGTTCCAGATGTTGAAAATAGAATATAACAAACCATTGAGACTTACAATCTAATGTATTGACTTTTAATTTTACTAAATTTCTAAGTGACAAAGCAACGGATGAGTACTGTTTCGACGGAGATAAGTTTATTTTTCAAACCTATACTTACTGTTTTAATGCTGTAGATGTATTTTCACAAAACAAATAACTGAAGTCCGGACGAATTAGTGGATGTTCGGAGATTAGTAATAAACGGGTCACAGAACCATAGGTGAAGAAACGTAACTGGGTATCGTGGAATTGTATTTGCTCTCTTGTAGATTAAAACTTTACCTAAAATAACAGAGGGTTTTCTCCCTAGAAAACCAACTTTCCCAGCTTCAGAGTCTGTGATGTATCGCGATGTATTATTAATGGGATGCAGAAATAGAGGTGAGACGTGATCTGAATCGATGGACCTAAGAATGCAAGTGAGCTAGCCGTTTTGATCTTTAAGCCAATGGAAAATGAATCAATTGTTGATAAAAGTTAAATACTAAAACAGTAAAGAAAGTCTATTTGTTTTTAAAAAAATTGTTACATAAATAAATACATAAAAAATAGAACAGAAATGGTTTCTGGAACAAAAATAAACTATTGGTACATTAGCACACAATGCAATACGGCCCTGAAACGTTATGGTTTTTTTTTAAGAGCAGCCTACTAGGAAATTATGACAACTTTATATCATCAGTTAGGAAGTCGGCGAATCCTAAAAGAAAAATAAACAAAGGAATTTTCAGAAAATTTAAACAATAAATAAAGTCACTCTAAGTAAATATTGAGAATGACTGAAACAATGATAATGTAATACTTCTAACTTACTTCGATTTCTATAACATCTCTTTCCTCAAATTTATAAGATTTGGGATCTGTTGGGCGGAAATCAGAGTCATTTGGTAAATTTTTTGAAATCTGAGAGTTATCTGTTCTACCGTTATTAGTTATATTCCCATCACTGAAAGAAACCAATGTCGTTAACTGTACACGACGTTTTTGTTTAGATACAGTTGTGGCACCATCGACAACAATGGGATTATTATTAATGCTGAAATGTAGATTGTTAAATGGTGTATAAGAAAGTTAAAACTTCAATATATTTAAAAAGATCAGTTATTAAATTGACAATTTTAATGTCCGATGAAAATGGATTGTTTACGAGGAAAGGATAATGCCCAATTATTGGTGACGAAATATATCTTCTTTAAATCACACATTATAATTATCATATCAATTTAAAGCAAGTTTATAATCTATTACAGAGAACTGAATAAAAGTATACTTTCAAAAGACACTAATTACAGACTTCAAAACATAAACTCAAAATCACACCCCATTTGTAATCCACAAATTTATCAAGATGTTTGGTAGCTTAATCACACAAGCAATCGACAATACTAATATCATTAACATAATGATTTTAATTATAAGTAAAGATGGATGGGGTCTAACGGTGGAATTTAAGACGCGTGTTTCGTCCTATTTGCGACTCATCAGCCGGATATACCTGCATAACATAATTAAAGTTCGCTCCTGGATACCACTGTTAGCCACCACCCATCTTTGCTTATAATGCTTTCCACCTAAGGCAATATTGAGGCAATCCGCACAGGATGCACACATGCCAATAAGAGACTGATGAATTGCATTCCTAAATATCAATAGAGAGATCCAAACAAACAATACAAAAATGGAATAATAAATTATTGAATTCATGTATCGACCTAAGCTAGACCACCATTGAAAACCTGGAAGCATCAGACGGCCATTTTGTCCGAGTCTGGACCTCCTCAACAGTGTGCATCCACGATCCCGAATGACTGGAACCCAGGACCTTCGGTTTCACGTGCAAACGTTTAACCTCAAGACCACAGAGTCGGCATCCAACAGTGTTAATGTCTAATTTCAACCAATCCACAATATTGCACGATCATCTTCCATTGTCTGAGGTAGATACCTGTCTCACACCCGACACGGACTGTACTCCATTGGTCACGGCTTCTAACTAGAATTACAGGAAATAGATCTTGAAGCCAGTCACTAGTGAGCACATGATGATTATCATCAGGATGAGGGTTTGTGCAGATTGTACTCATTTTAATACTTGAATTCATGGTCTAATAGAAAAGCGAAACAATTGGCTAAACTAAGTGTACATACAAGTAAGATTTGATGGGAAATTCATCAGACTCAAAATATATCGCTTCGAGTATTTTAGAAATAAATTCTGGCAATAAAAAAGAATACACAGTCGATTGATAAAAACAATAAATTTACCTTGATTCTGACGACTTTGCTTCAGTGGTTAATTTGTTTGAGTCAGGAACTGTGGCAGATGAAACATTAGATTTTGGAGGATTGTATGCTTCATTGACAGCGTCGTTAATTGCATCCCCTACTACGGATGATAACATTTCAACTTCATTAATCTGGCACTTATCTGTTTCCCTAAAAGCATTGTCGATTGAGATAGCTTGTGAATTAGGCGCACCAAACGTACCACGATAAAATGCGCCAAGTTCACCATGTGCGAAGTGAATAAGAGAGCAATAACCATCAGTAGAACAGATTACAACTAAATGCCCGTCTTTAGACCATGTTGCATCATTTAGAGCTTGATAATGAAGCTGAGAAACCTGAAATACACAAACATATTTTGACTGACAGCATATAAGCTAGTAATTAAGTATAGGTTAGTCTGATGAAAAAACTTTGAGCTGCATTGATTGAACAAGATGACGGTCCATGGTGAAAACTACTTTCGAACCAAACAATTTTCATCACAAAACACCTAAGTAAGTTATTAATATTGTTTGTCAGTCAGTCAGTTACAAAGTAGGACCAAGCACATATATGCAGCGGTCCAAGTTGCCATACCGCATCAACACAACAAGATGGACACCGGATTCATAAAAGTAGTTAATTCAGAGGTGTAATATATAAAAGAAAGATTGCAATAAGGATATAATACAGGAAGAGAGAATTAGTTCGTAGAAAGAAGGATATGAAGCGATTTTAATCTCTTAGTTTAAGGGAAGACAGGGAGTGTATGCACCGACGCCATTGTGATCGATTCTGAGCCATGTCACAAAGAGTCTCCAACCATTAGTTACGATGGTCATAAGGACCCCATCCAAGTAGTCTGCATCTGCCAACATGGCTCAGACTAGAAGTAAATGACTTCAAGCACTGATGCCACGTTTTGATTTGGCCACCCCTAACTTTCTTCGAACCATCTCCAACACCGGTTAGCACTGCACGTCGAGGTAATTGGTGTTCAGGTATACGTAACACGTGACCCAACCGTCTCAGTCGATGAAGACTCACAACCTCATCAACTGATTTACCATCACTCCCTAATACCCTGCGTCTAACTTCACTATTGCTTACCCCGTGATCCCAGCAGACGCCAGAAATATTTCTAAGGCATCTGTGGTCAAACACTAGTAGCTTACGAATATCTTTTACCCTTAATGGCCACGTTTCGCAGCCGTAAAGTGAAAAAGAACGAACTACAGAGCAGTGTATTCGTCCCTTAATTGTTAGACGGATATCTCGTCTTCGCCATAGGTGACGTAAGTTGGTAAAAACCAAACGAGTTTTCTGAATCCGTGATGAGATTTCATCAGACATCAACTCATTAGGGCTGATCAGACTTCCACGATAAGTGAAGGTGTCAACGCGTTTGACTACTTCACTCCCTATCCTTAGTTCAGGTGTTGACGCAGACCAGTCCTGAAGCATCAACTTACATTTAGAGGGAGAGAAGCGCATTCCAAACATTCGGGCATTGTTGTTCAGTGCTACCAAAAGACTGCATTTTATCAGCGTCTTCACCAAACAGGACTATATCATCTGCGTATTCTAAGTCGATAAGTGGACCTCCTGGAAGGAGATCAATACCTGAGAATTCAGTAGACGAGAAAGTTATTTCCATCAGTAGGTCTACGATGAAGTTAAACAGAAATGGAGAAAGTGGACAGCCTTGACGGACACCATTTGAGGTTGCAAAACTAGATGACAGTTCGCCATAACCTCTGACTTGACTAGTAGTGTTCGAGTAAAGAGCCTTTACAAGGTTTATGTACTTCTGGGGTACGCCTTTCAATGACAGACACTGCCACAGAATCTCGCGGTCTACCGAGTCAAATGCTGCTTTTAAGTCAAGAAAGACCACCATTGTCGGACGCCGATAAGTGTGCCTACGTTCTAGAACCTGACGAATGGTGAATATGTGGTCGATGCAGCCACGACCAGGTCTGAAGCCAGCTTGATTCTCTCGTGTTTGCAGTTCACGAGTCTTAGTTAGGCGTCTGATAATTATCGAGGCTAGCATTTTAAATACTATATTAGTTGATTGTCAGAGGATGAATTAAACCCTCTCATATATATTGGGACGATAAGTGATTGTGACCAGTCAGATGGAATAACGTCTAGCTCCCAGATCTTAGCTAAAGTATTAGTCGGGCTCGCCTATCGTGATGAACCAACCGAGCTATGCTGGCTGGAACAACAGCTCCTCAAGGTCCTACCACATCAGAAAGGTCGGTTGAAGAGTTATAAGACTAAAAGCAACAAACCCAAGGTCCTAAGGTGAAGTCGTACTGCTGACTGTACAGAGATGTGACAGCAGTAAGGTGTTTCCTTCAGACAACCAGCATGACAGCGATGCTGCCTTCCCACAAGGAGGGCTGGGGTTAGAAAAGGTCGGCTCTAAAAATGCACACCTCGCCTTATACCACGGATATCCGTCTCCGGCGGTAAGGTCTCAACAAGTACAGAGCTAACACAAAAATTACCCATAAAAATGTCGTGTGTGACCGACCTCAAGCAGTTGTCCCTTGGGCACTGCGGTCACGCTCTCAGGTCACTAAGACCACCTCTAATCCAATTTCCTTTTCAGGCATCTCCAGAAGAACCCTCCCACGGTGTGGGCAACCGGGAAGTGATAACCACCCTCATACCTCTAACAGAACTCAAGACCACTAATATTGTTTGAGCAGTCATATATAACATTTATACAAAATATTAACAGGTAAGTGTATATGTACGTTTATAGTTAATAGATATTCTAATGCGAATCGCTCTCTTAATGACCAACATGATACAATGTAGCAATAAGTTCTACAAGCCATATTTTATATAAACCGGTTATAATTGCTTTTGAAAGCAAACTCTAATTAGATTATGCCAATCTGCAAGTCAGTATATTAAAGAGTGAGATTTTTAGTTGAATATACACTTTTTCCATATGTTATTCATGTATCTTCAGAACAAACAGATTCTTGAGTTGGACTGAGATCAGTGGGATCGAACCGTTTATTATTAGGGCAGTTGAATTATCTACGCTGATTATTGATTTATTTTCTTATATTGACTGTAGCAGCAGCGAATTTTTCTTTATATAATCACATAAAAACCATCTCCTAACTAATGACTCAATCATCGTGAATAATGACCGAAGAATAGTGAATGGTCCAGAAACTCCTTCCAGTCAGACGATAAAAATGACAAGCAGATTAATTCTTTATTGTAATCTATTCAATCATGACTCAAAACTTATACAGCAATACACCATAAATATTTGACCGCACAGCAACACAATTATTAGTCATTCAGGTTATACTCAACACAGAAGCAGGTACAAAACAGTTAATAAGTTACATTGTATACACGACTGTCATAAGTGATATAAAAAAAGAAGCAATAGAGAAATAATTAATTAATCAATTATAAATCTGAAACTGTAAGACACATAACAAAGATTTATAGGTCAAGCAGAAACTTATAAATAGAACAAAAATAAGTATATCATCAGTATACAATAAAAATATGAATAAATCTCAGTAGAATACTTCTGAAAGTCCAACGTTTCTCAAAACCTCTTCCATATGACAGCTAGTCAACAATCCTTTAATACAAACATATTTTATATTTTAATTCCTAATATTCATAATGTAAAGTTGTGTACAATACAAAACTCATGTTTTTTTACAAGTATAGTGGAGTAGTATGGTCATAGGTTGTAAGAAAACTTAATCATTACAGTATTTGCAACAGTGACCTCAAAAAAAAGATTAAGATGTTATTTTGGTAACAAAGTTACTTAGGTCGACTATTAATAAAGTCCCAATTTTGATTTAGTCAAAGATTTTTGAATCTTTCTGATTGCTAAGTGAATGGCCATTAATATATGAAAATAAGTAACTAGAAGTGGTCGATAATACATTAATGTAAGTAACGGCACTTATACTTGTAAGATATATTTTGATCAAGATTTTAGAAAACGTTATGTTAAAAACAAGTGATGAATGTATCAAACACAACATATGACGACCATGCAAATTTCATTAAAAAGATGAATAATTACTAAACAATATGAAACTGTGCTTACCTGAGCAAATGGTACGGTTTGTTGAGTATCATAAAAAAGAACACTATCCTCTAATACTAAGCAAAACAGCCACCGATATGCAAGATTAAACAAGCTAGAATATTGATTTGTGTCATTTTGATAGTTTAAGTTAACCTGTCTTAATTGGAACGGTTGAGGACAAAAGCGAACTGCAACAACTGGCTTAGAACCTGTTGGTAAACTGACTACAGGACGCGTGAAATTTGAACGTACAAAAATATGTGCTGCATGTTGAGGAGCAACTAGTGGAATGGTAGTATCTACTATTTTGTCTGGCTGTTCAAATCCATTGGTTGAAGAAATTATAGTTGAATTGGTTAATCCAGCAAATGCAGCCTCTTCAAGATTACCAGATGGGCAAACAAGAAGTAAACCATCCGGACTAAAAGTAAGACGTCGAAAAAACGACTTCCAAGAATCATCCTATGAAATAAATGTAAATAATAAATTGACATGAAAACTCCACACACTTGAAACAGTGGATCCAGTCAATACATATTGATCGACTATCATAGATCCATTTTACTCAGAAATATAATATAGAATGGTATAATGATACAAGTGAATGAAGACCGAAAATGAAAAAAATATCTACGATGGTTACATGGGAAAATATTTTCTGAATGATTCCTTTCAATTATCCATCAATGGGGTATAACCAAATTAAAAACGATGCATATAATGTAACCCTTAAATATGATACAAGTATTGAAGCACTTAAATGGAAGTATAAAATATTGAGACTGTAAAGACAACTACTAATGCTATCATTAATTTAGATAAAATAGAAAGAAAAGACACTATTTCCATCCCTGAGTGATAGGTAATAACCAACTTTACTACCAATCATTTCCTAGTGACTGAGAATTTTTACAATGTAGTATGATTTGATAAAAAAATCAATAGGAATAGGCCAAATTGTAATGATAGTAAAATTCCATTCACAAGTGATTAATTTGTGAGGGTTTCTGATTTACGGTAAGGAAAACAACACTACTCAATTTTTGAAATCTAAATAATCACAAACTTGTAATATACACATATGGTCATACACCAGGTCTTACATTAATCAATTAATCCTGTTAGAACTAACTAACCATAAAACTACAAGCGATCGTTTAATCCAGATGAAAGGAAAACGAAATTTAATTATAAGTGAATTTTTTGTTCTACGGTAAAAATATATGATTAAGACAAATCGATGACCATTATTTCGTACAATATCGCCTAGGATGTTTTCAATGAAATAACGAAGAAACTCCATAAGAAAAAATCCTGAAAAATAAACAGGCTAGTGATATTAGCCAAAGAACTGGTTACAATATTAACCATTACTTGTAGAACATCACTTAAGAAATTACTATATACTACTACTAATTATTAAAATAACACTTTCAGCTAATATTTCCACTAGAATTTGGTTATTTCTTACAGATGTCCAAACTTGCATACAAACGATTGCTTTAACACTCCTGTTATCATTCTCACGTTTATGTAAACTAAAGGAGTTAAGCAAATGACAGTTGAAAGATTCGTTTGTTTGTCTAGTTTATGAGAAAATATTCTTTTCTTTAATTTGTAACATAAAAGATTATGAAATTACTAAAACAAACAGTGAGATAAAATTAGAATAAATCTGTTGAACTACTTGCAAGTAGCAAATAAACAAATATGTAGCTAATTCACTTCATATCACGTATATGTCGACTGAAAAGAGGTGCCTCATTTCATTACTTGATATTGAATTGGAATAAGAAAACCGGTAATCGTATCTATTTAGTGTGACCAAAATGGGTAGAAAAAGAGCAGAACTCCATGATTAACTATAGAAAATTCTAAATAAAAACCACTTGATCATATGCGTAGAAAACAAGAAGACTACAACGCGTCTTGAATAATGCTTCTCAACATGTAAATTTGTGATACAAATATAAATGAGAAGTTTACTATACCATATATATATATATATATATATATATATATATATATATATATATATATATATATATATTGCGGTAAACAATACTGGTAAATAATGAAGTATACTTTCCCTTTTTACTTGGCTCACTTGAATGATGTCAGATTAACTAGTATGTATTTTAAACTTTATTCATAGAAAAATGTATCTGATGAACGTACTTGAAATAAACGTTGTTTTCCAGCTTTAGACACATGTGCTAAACAATTTTTAGTTCCAGCATGATATATCCGACAAGCTCGATCGCTGCTTAAACTGGCGACATAAAATCCTAATGGGTCCCAAGCAACACCTTGTACATAATGTTTGTGATCACGTAGAATTAAGGTCTTGATTGTAGCTTGACTGGTATTTGTACTTGGGGCAGGTGCATTCTCCGGTCGATTAGAATTATTGTTCTCTGGACCCACTTCTCCAACACTGCTGAAATCTTCAACTGGCAGAACAGATGACGGTGATGGAATCAAGTCAAGGTGCCAAACTATGATTGAATGATCAACAGACCCGGATATAAGTGCACGTTCATCTGGAGACCAACAAACATCGTAGATATCTTCTAAATGACGTCTAATCGCAAAGAAATATACAACATACATTTTAGGTATGAAATAAAACGATAGGTAAAATATTTTTCGATCACAAAGGAAATGTTCATAGAATAATTCTAACACCCGGTATAAGTAATATTCCTTGTAAATGATTGAGAAAAAACATTTGCTTCAATACATTAACCGCTAAAATTCACACCTGATGTTTGCTTGATGAATATATTAAATGACAAATCAATTCCATTTTTTTTTAAAATATCATACAATAATAATGGATGGTAGGTACAAATGAAATCTCTAATCAATCATATGAATTACACAAGATTTGTTTCAATCGCCCGAAAATGTACCATGCTTTTAGTACGATGTTTGTCAGTTTGATCAGCGATTATGTTGTTTTGTAGAAAGTGGGAAAAGTCAACTACTTATGAGTAGACATTAAGGAGGGAAATTATATTTTTAAAATTTTCAGCGGCTAAATTTCAAGTGAATTCAACATTTCGTTCAGTCCAAGCTTTTTCAAGGAAATATAAAAAAAACATCCAAATTATCAAATATAAATAAGTTCATGGTTCTCCAGTTAACTAATAATGAACAGGTCATCCAATCGTGTTAACAATGTTGAAAGTAAGAATTTGTTTTAGTGAGACATTTAAGGTGTGTAAAGAAAAGTGTGTTAAGATAAGTTGTATGTATATGTAAGTGGATCTGAGGTGAGAGAAAAAAATTTCATTGAATATATATCACCTCTGATCGGTGAATTTTTGATGAAAACAGACAATTTTATAGGTGATATGAGTTAAGCATGTTACAGCAAGCATAAACTGAAGATAAGTAAAGAAAATTAAAACAAATGTTTGTGCTAATTTGTTGATCAAGTTAATTGTTCATATATTCAGAAAAACCAACTGATTATAAGAGTAATCGTTGTCGATCAGATAATAATACACAAAATACAGTGAAATGTAATCAGGAGTTCCGCTTTATTTAATAATTATTATTGGTCATGGGATAGCTAATTGTATTTCGTCTTTCTTATTAATACTGTGTTATATCTTGAAAGCTGATTTCTAAATATACCGCGTATAACAGAGCACTAGAACACCAAAACCCTTCCAAGTCGCAATAAGAAGACAGAAGACTAACGAAAGCAATATTATTCCAAACAGTGTCAATCATAGTACAAAATTGTCAGATATTTATAGTTTTTAGTGAGAACGAAATCATCATTACAGTCCTCCAATCCGCATACAGAGGGTTATTAGCATTAGCCAATCGGGAAGCTACACGTTGGAATTCTAGAATATTCTTCCGAAAGGTGATTGGGTGAAACGTCTTCGGCTCCTTCTGAGCTTCTTACAGCTTCCTCGAGTTTACCGGTGGTCCGTCGTCACACCTCCCCCCTTTAAAGTCCGTTGTGTAAGATTTTTTTCTTGGATCCACCTGAAGCTTGGGTGTCGCATTCCTCTTGCGGTCCATTACTCTCGAGGGTTGTACAGCTTTCTGTCTGCGTCGTTTGTCTTTTCGATATTTGCGCTCATGATGGTTCTTTTTAGATGAATCTACGAGCAATTGAAATGGGAGCCGGTTTTCTGTGACCACTGTACTATCATTTCTTTGCATTTGATTTATATGTCTTATGCATTTTCCGACACCTTTCCGGACTAGGTACAGTACATTTCCGATTCGACGTTCTATGACACCTGGTTCCCACTTCCTATTACCTTGATACGATCTGACAAGTACCTTTTCACCCACCTGGAAGCTACGATTGACCTTTCGATCTTCATTCGTAGGTTTATTTGTCTTTCTGGGTGGCAACATTTTGTTAAAGACTGTCCGGATTTTCCTTCCGAACATACACTCGGCCGGAGACTTTCCTTCTGGTATTGCCGAGTTAGGGATAACTCTGTAAGACATTAAGAACTTATTAATCACTTGTTCCGGGATACCCTCACCTCCCCCCTTTGACCAGAGCTCTTTTAATGGTATCCACGAATCTTTCTGCCTGGCCATTAGACCGAGGATGGTACGGAGGAGATTGTAGATGCAATATGCCATTTTCACTGCAAAGGCGTCTGAAGGCGGATGACATAAACTGAGTACCATTGTCGGTCACTAAGATCTCTGGAACCCCCAAAACAAGCAAACAATCCTGACAATATTCTTATTGTATTATCTGAAGTCGTATTCAGCATGTCATATACTTCTGGCCATTTTGTGAAAGCATCGACAACAACTAAGTAATTTCTGCCTTGTATTGGTCCGTCGAAATCAGCGTGTATTCTTTGCCAAGGCCCGTCCGGTTTAGGCCATGATTGTTGTTCAGCTTTCGTCGGATTCTTCGCAGCCTCTAGACAGGACCAACAACTGCGACATTTTTGCTCTATATCATGGTCGATTGACGGCCAGTATGCATAGCTCCGAGCTAGTGACTTCATTTTACTTATCCCCGTATGCCCGCTGTGGAACTGTTTAATGACTTGGTGTCGAAGATTTCTGGGGATGACGATACGATGGCTAAACATTATACATGAATCAACAACTGTTAATGACTCTCGTCGACGAAAATATTGTAAGAGTTCTCCGTGTAGTCTAGATGAAGGCCAATGGCGAACAATCTTCAATACATTATCCTTCTTGCTAGCCTCTTTAATGGCTTCGAATGTGACCGGGAGTCCAGAAACTGCGTCTAACAATACTTTGTGAATCTCGGCCTCGACATCTATGGGAGCTGCGGGCACCTCTTCTTGTTTTGCATGCAGACCAATCAATCTTGAGAGGGCATCTGCCTGTCCGAAATCCGTTGTTGGTTGATACTTTATTTTGAAATCATAGCCCAGCAGTGTAGTAGTCTATCGCTGTAGCCGGTTTGCTGTATATACAGGGATACCTTCTTTAGATCCAAAAACTGTCAGTAACGGTTTATGGTCTGTAAGTAAAGTGAACATTCTGCCAAACAACATCTTGTGGAACTTTTACAGCGAATATAATCGCGAGGGCTTCTTTCTCTATCTGACTGTAGTTTCTTTCAGTCATAGTCAGCGAACTCGCAGCGTGAGCGATTGCTTTCTCAGACCCGTCAGGGTAGGCATGTGAAATTACTGCTCCGATTCCGTAGTTCGACGCATCTGCTGCGACTATAATTAGAAGATCTGGATCATAGTGTGTAAGCAGAAGGTTTGATGATAGGAGCTGCTTTAGTTTTAAGAATGCTTCCTGGCATTCAGTTGACCAGAACCATTTAGTATCCTTTTTCAGTAAGCAATTAAGAGGTGCACGATGGCGAGGCAGATCTGGAAGAAAAACTCCGTAATGACTAACCATTCCCAAGAAAGAGCGTAAAGTTGATACATCCGTCGGTGGAGGCATGGACTTAATAGCTTCGACATTTTCAGGATCAGGCTTTTTCCCATTTTTATCGATTATGAATCCCAAATACCGGACTTGCTCCATGTAAAAATCACATTTTTCGGCACGCAGTCTGAATCCATAATCTGCTATGCGTCTGAGAACCGTATACACCTTATTCTCTAAATCAGCATAGTCTGTACCCATAATCAAAATATCATCGAGATAGGCTGCGGTACCAGGAATGTCTTGTAACATGGTATCCATAACTTGTTGGAAGATTGAAGGGGCGGTCTTTACTCCAAAAGGAAGTCTGTTATATCTGAACAACCCCTTGTGAGTCTTTATTGCCAAGTAATGCTTACACTCATCCGCTACCGGAATCTGTAGATAAGCGTTTGATAGGTCTAATTTCGCAAAATACTTACCCCCATTCAGTTTCGCAAATAAATCCTCTGGTACCGGCAATGGGTATTGATGATCTTCAAGTGCTTCATTTAATCCAGTCGAATAGTCTGCACATAACCGGATACTTCAATTAGGCTTTTTAACAATCACTATCGGTGCTGCCCAATCAGAAAAGTTTATTAATTCGATTATTCCACTTCTGTGCAGACGCTCTAATTCTTGTTCAACAATAGGTAGCGCTGCATAGGGTACCGGACGTTTTTGGTCTGAAGATGGGGGTGACTCCCGGTTTAAGAATCAATAGTGCTTTTACCTTTTTGCATTCCCTCAACTCTTCCGTAAACACTTGACTATGTCTTTCCAAAACAACACTCTTCAGATCCTTTTCCACCGGTTTATTGGTTCTCACTGCGCTGCATATGTTGTTAATGGGGTGATTTGCTAATTGTAGTGTTTCTATCAAGTCTAGACCTAGCAAATCTAGTCCTGGGTTCTGTGTAAGATATAAAGTTGCATTCGTTTTCGCGTTTCCTTTCGAAACTGTACAACAAACCTCTCCAACAATATTTAGTTTTCCTCCAGATGTGCTGTGAGCTAACTGGGTTGTTGGGAGCACCTGTGGTTTTCCGATAAGATTCCAAGTTCTTCGACTGATAAGTGTGATGTCAGAAGCAGTGTCGAGCTGCAGGCGGGCGCGCTTTTTATTTATCTCTACGTTTACATACTTTCGTTGGTGGTGCATTTGTGCTCGGTTATGTGATACCAATATTTTGTTAGTTCGAGCACTATATCTGTATTTCTTCGAGTAGGGTTTCAAAGAATGTCGTTTATGGGATCTTTTTCGGCAGCAGTTTTCTTTATGTCCCTTCCGATGACATTTGATACAACGATGTTCCTTATATGGGCGAACCTTTTATAATGCCAACCCCCACAAAACCAATATGGAGATGAAGGCTGATTATCTGTGTGCGATACCTTTCTTGAGCAAGAATCTTTCTTTCCGCTTACAGCATGAACGTATGGCAACTGGCCATTATTTTCGACCATGGAAGTGTCATGCTTTAGGTTTACCGATCTCTGGCACTCTGCGGTTACTTCTTGTAGTATCATATTCGGACATTGTTCAATTTTACTCAAAATTCTGGTTCTAATATCGGCATCTTCGGGAGATTGGAGGCTGCACACAAACACAAGACTCTTAAACTGGTCTTCTGTCATTGCTGATAGTTTGAAACGCTCACATTCACGGTTTACTAAACCCGCGTGCTTCACCCAGTCATCATCATCTGCTTTTGTCATCTTGAGACATTATAACGAATATTAAACAAGGATGACTGTTCAGCAAAGATTTGCGACAAAATTTCAATCGTTTCATCAAAAGAAAAATCTCTTGGATTCTTTGGAAGGATAAAGTTACTGTAACGTTCATGTTCAACAGTTCCAAGTTCTCGCAAGAGTATTCTGACCTTAGCGGCGTCATCAAGTTTTTTGAGGTCGACCTTGAACAAACCTTCAAATTTCTTGAACCAAGTTTCACAAGTAATGCCAGCTGAACCATCAAAATTAAATTCATGGATAGAATTAACGATCTGGTCAATATGAGATTTGAAGGGGTCATCTGTAACTTCTTCTTGATCCAGGTTCATTTTCTGAGTTAGCATCTCTATGATGCGTATCTAGAACTGTTCAAAACGTTTTTTTTTGGCGTTCCAATAAGGCTTCAAATTGTTCAAAGGTAAATGACATATTGGTACAATAACCCGTCGCCGGATGTTATATCTTGAAAGCTGATTTCTAAATATACCGCGTATAACAGAGCACTAGAACACCGAAACCCTTCCAAGTCGCAATAAGAAGACAGAAGACTAACGAAAGCAATATTATTCCAAACAGTGTCAATCATAGTACAAAATTGTCAGATATTTATAGTTTTTAGTGAGAACGAAATCATCATTACAGTCCTCCAATCCGCATACAGAGGGTTATTAGCATTAGCCAATCGGGAAGCTACACGTTGGAATTCTAGAATATTCTTCCGAAAGGTGATTGGGTGAAACGTCTTCGGCTCCTTCTGAGCCTCTTACAGCTTCCTCGAGTTCACCGGTGGTCCGTCGTCACATACTGTTTAAAAGTGTTTACATGTGTAGGGCTTCAGCTGTTAGTCCCTCTTTGTACTAACTAGAACTTATATGGAGGATTATTGTGCCATTGAAATCATTTGTATGACATGACTCTATTGAGTGTAATGCTATGGTTGACTTGTTTTCTAGTTCTTTTTCAGCTCATCTGAAGATTCAGGAATGTGCTTCAAGCAAAGTTTGTATCCCTTTACCTTCACATTCAGTAACCATAATGTCTCATCTACAAATATAGCATTACAGTCGCTACAACTGATCTCAAAAAGACAATTTTATTGTTCCGCCTTTCGTATTGCATCCTTGAGTCTTACTAGTTTAGAGCATAGAACATTATTTGCTCGGAAGAGTACTGTTATATTTTGGGGATTTAGGATCTTTCTGATCTTTCCTGAAATCCCATTACGATATGGGATCACTTCTGTGTTAAACAATTCTCTTTTACTCATGGATAGGATGATAGTAGATGGAATCTAGGTGACTTCAGAAATATTACAAATATCAATTTTAAGCAAACACATCTGAGTTAACTTTATCCTATGAAAAAAAAGGAAAGTTGTGTTAGAAAATACAATTTGTAGTTTTCCAAAGTTGATTTTTATTACTGATCAATATCAACTACGAAGGCATTAAGAACCGAAGGACTTTGATCAACTGTTGGTCTAAAGGTAAGCATGATGCAAGTTCTGGTTTTTAACCCTGGAGAGTTGCGGTTACATATTGATAAGTCTTTTACTTGAACGCATGTTAATAACTTTCCAGGTATTTCCTATAACTCCAGATTCTTTCTGCACTTAAACTCGAATAACGGAGAAAAATTGTGAAAGTTGAATAGAAGCTTTACTAAACGATTAATCTATGTACAGAAAATTGAGTATATACATAAACCAAAACGTCAAACAATCATTCGCACTTTTTAGAATTATCTAAGAAGTTTCTTTTCATTGCTGATAGGATAAAATTCTCACATCCTTTTCTCGGCCTTCTAAACTTCAATCTAAACTTATCTAAGTAACCTCTCCCATTCAAAAAATATTGAGCATATTTATCAATTGAACCGGACATAATTTGAGTCAATGAAATATCTAACCTGGTGTATCTAGTGAAGTAGTAACGCGAACGTTAACGGGTCTGACATTTGACCACGAAATCGCAGGTTCTAAAACCACTCCTCCTACAACGATTTGAGCAACCGGGTAGTATCACTGGCCATCACAATTAGTGTGAGTCAAAGTCACCCATATAAATTTATACCTGGTAAACGAGTCAATAAGGTAATCAACACACTTGGATGAAATGTATATAAATCATGAACTACATTACAAATTAACATAAATTTATGAGCTGCATTCTGAGGGGATACAGAACGATAATGTACATGTTTACTATAAATCAACAGAATAATCATAGCTCATGTGATGTAGTGTCTGAAATTCCTGTATTTGAGTCATGATTAGAACATAACTATTACACAGCATCCCAAAATATACCTAAATGATTATTGACCAGTACTCGATTTCAAGGAAATAAAATAAATGGTTGCAATCGAAGGGGTTCGGAATGTATGTTACACTTATCCAATACACAATGATGCTCCGAGACGGCTTAACAACAGCAGTTGATTTAAGATCAAAGAGTGATTGTAATGGTTAAACGTGTTGACCATTTACATATAAATCGATTCTAATCAATGATAAAATCATAAATCACATATACAAATACTAGCCTGATACATTTCTATTGATTTCCATTCTGTCAGTTAGCTATCATTCTCGTAACACGGCAAACACTAGATTGAAACACATTTTTAAACCAGGTTCTAAAATAGTTTATATGTGTCCTTACAATGTGTGTCAACCCAGAAACATTACCAGAATTCATTTCAACGAGACGAGAAAAAATCAATATGAGGAAAGAAAATCCGATCAAAAATAATGATATCAATACTAGCAGAGAACTTAAATTAAAAATGACGAAAATGTAACATGAGAATTCCAAGACAATATGCCTCCTAGGATTTAAAGATGATAAAAGTAGGAGCAGACTGCATCTGCACTAAATCGAGACTTATTTTGAAGTAAGCAAACCGTCCACTAATTGGTTAAACCCTATTAAGTCCAACAGTATTGGTAATCAGTCGTTCATTTTGGTAGAATGTTTAGTAGTATATAATTAAATACATACAGACATAAGTTTTCTTCAAAGCTTTAAACGTTAATGAAATCAAGTTAATACTAAGCTAAATTTTAGATTTCTGGGAAAGAACAGTAAATTTTAATGAGGTCATGAACTTCGAATCGTTGAAATGGTCGATTTATATATTGTTATTCAGAGAGGTTTAAGTTAAAATAAGAACACTATAGAAAAAGGTGATTGAACCCATTGAACCCGTCCAGTGCTTCCAGGTTTTCCATGGTGGTCTAGCTTCAATTGACTCATGGTCTCAACTATTGAAATTACTATAATATACACAAAAAACCCTACTGAAATTACGTCAAAATCAGTATTTCATTTAACTGAAATACATCATTTCAATTTCAAGTCATTAAAAACGTTTTGTATTCAATGAAAGTCAGAATCTAAGAAATGTAAATCATGAACTGAATTATGGAATAACAGTAAATATGTAACATAATTTAGAATAAATATGCAGAGATTTTTATAATAACTTGTCAGTCTAATCCAAATAGAACAATCAATTTAACTAAACTATTAAGAGAGATCAAGTCCTGTATGTACGAAACAATCTGTAAGTTCACAATCAAAAAATGTAAAAGTTTTACAAATTAAGATAGAAAATAACTCATTCCATGCATTGTTTACAAAGACAACCGCTACAAATAAGTACAGAGAATAAGAGAACTCTTGTTGTAAACACCTAATAAGTAATTTAACATCTAAACTAGTTACTGATACACATCAACACCATATTTAATAATTAATATTCTCTTTAAAGTAATTTATTTAATTCAAACAATTCAAAAATAGTCTAATGTAAAATAGCTATATGAAATATGGATTTTCCCAACAAAAAATTATGTTAAATCATAATATTGACCATATATAACACATAGATATTCTAACCTTAAACTTCGACAAGGAATCCATATTTCCGAATTTACAGCATTATCATCATCATCATCTTCATCTTTTAAATTGGATGAATTATCTATCGAAGTGATCATCCCATTATTGGTAGTTTGATTTGACCATATTATAATGAATAAATCATCTCCAGCTGATGCCAGATAGTCACCTGAAACAGTAAATAATGGTTAACAATGACAGTTTTTTTAAGTGACATTTCATAAGGAAAAAATCGCTCCAATTATATATATAGGAGGATAAAACATTAATTGACAAAAGACTGTCAATATACTCAAACGAATGGACATTCAACATAATACAATCATATTATTAAGAAATTTCACAGGTAGCAATCAAACAAATGATTACTTTCTGTGAAGTAGGTACAATGACTGGGAACATGGAATCATCAAAAAAATAATTTCTGAAAGATTCAATACTGAAATTCATGAATTGATTCAGAGTGAACTTCATTCATTGACTTTCAATGTATGCTTACATGTATTAATTTAATTAGTATGAACTTCATTCTTTAATTTCCAATGTCTATTTTATTAATTAATGCACTATGACTTACATTCTGTGAGAACTTCTCTGTTCGTAATTTAAAATCACGTTTATTAATAATATAACAGGTTTATTTATTTCCTTTTCATATCAAGTCGTGTTTCAATTTTAAAACCAGTCGGTTGAAGTGAAGTGAAGAGTCCAAGAATAATAAGCCATTGAAGAAGACATAATGCATAGAGACTGAGAAAATATAGTGTACTTTCCAGATGAATAGGTAAATGATTAACACTAGGTTGAAGTTAATCTATTAAATTAATGTAATACCACTCCCCCAAAATACTACGAATAATAGCAAGTTAGTTATATTAACCTAAAAAATAAATTTATGTTTCAATCGAAAAAATTACTCTGAGAGTTAGCCACAGATGCCTATCAATGTTATTACTAATGAAATACATGAACTGCAAATCGCATAAACAAATGGGAGTACTTTCGTTCCGAGTATCTGTAAAGGTATACTTGCTGACTTTAAATTTCTATATATGTCCATGATAACATTTTTCATACAAACTAGATTTTTGTGTATGATAGGGTGCATTAACCTTATGTTCCGATTGACCCAGTACGATAACCAGATCACATCAAGATACTTACCAGTTGACAAAAAGTTGGACTAACGGAACTAAAAACATACACCCCTACTTTTTCATAGCACTGTGAGTTGTAGGTTTCAAATAATATATTGACCAAACTAAACAGTAATCAATTTCCTAAGTTTGGTATAAAAGATGCTTAATTACAGTTAAGAATGAACACTATATTTTGTAGACAAGTAATGGGGAATTCGGTTGAAAAATCTGGCTTTAGTTAGTTGCATTTACAACTCTGTGTTTAGTATAATTTATACTGGAAAATGCTAGAACTTGTGACATTTTCGGGCTTTTCTTTTCTACACGTTTAATTAAGACACCTATTAAGGATCTTCACGCAACCTCTAAAACAATACGTTACATTATGAATTGTTTAATGAGAACGATCAAATCATCGAGAAGACTCTTATTACAAAGCTTAAATCAACTGTCCTGTGAACAATAAATATAATACAAAGTATGGTGTTTATATACGCATGAGAACACCGAGACTTATTTGGAGAGTTTATACATGTGAAATAAATAGTAAAGGTGATTGACAGTTTTTACACTTAAATCTATTTTCAATGGAACATTCTCCACTGTGTGTTTCCAAATTATCAACAAAATGAAGGTAGTACACAAAGAAATTAAATGTAATTCATTTACTACAAATCATCACATTAAGAGATGTAATAATAATATAATGATTTATTTGTGATATCTTAATGAGTAGAAAAATGGATTTGACGCTCCAGAACTTAGTGTAAGCCAATTCTTTAGAGTAAAAAAACAAACAAATAACCAAATTAATTCGGTTATTAGCATTCTAATAAAATGGTAGTAGTGTGATGTGTGCTACTGATGTCGGCAGATATAAGTAGTATGTATCACCAAACGAAAGTGAAGTACCTGGTGGCAAAAGGTTAAGAAAATCGAAGAAAAGAGAGAATGATTGCTGTGGAAACGAATGAATAATGATATCTGAGACCATTAATTGACATTTTGCAAATGAATTATTTACTGTATGGATCTTAGATTTTACTAAGAGATTCTATAATTTTGTCCATACATTTGGTTAACCCCGCTTGTGTTCTCATTACTACAGTAATACTCAAACTAATTTCACTCATCAAAATTAGTATAGATTAACAATAAATTAAGAAAATCGGCAAAGTATCACACAGTCATTAGTCAATTCATATTTAACATATTATTACCATCGGCTGCAATTCACCGAAGTGATATATTCAAAAATAACAATTATAAAAATATCCCATAAACGAAAACTTTTGAACATAAATTATCTTTAGCAACCTGAAGGTGAAATGCTACAATGGATCAATGAATAGTATACATAAAAACTTTACCTGAAGGTGACCAACGAACAACATTGACAGGTTTTTCGTGACGTTTTAATGAAGCCAAATAAGTTAAATGTTCGAATTGTTTGGAATCAGTTTTTTGTGTTGTACCAGAAGTATTAACACCAGGATCCTTTTTAGCTACCGTTAGATTAGCAGTACATTGAGATTCAGTTTGCTTTGTTGTCGTTTTCAAAACTCCAGGTAACCAATTCAATTGAACACGCCATAAACGAACAACATTATCACCGCCAGCTGTTGCCAATCTTGTCCAATTCAAATCAGGATCGAGATCTTTAACATTTTTAAAATTTAATTCACTTAAAGGACTACGATTAGATGTTTGATCGCTACATTTATTATTATCACTTATTAATTTGGGACGATTTTGTAAATCACATGAATATATTGGTAGCGTTTCATGCCAGGCTATTTCAGGAGTTAAATAACGCATCTCTGAACTTAACAGGTATTATTCTGAAAAAGTATAAAATATAGGTAATAACATTAATGTTAGTAATGTAAAGCTTTCTTCACGTTTCTATAAAACTTTGATGCACTTCAGTTTTCTTATTTATTAGAGAAATGATATTGGATAAATGTTACCGGTTTAATACTTTGAACAATCTGAATGAATTCCCGATTAAATAAGATAAATTTAGATACTTACATTTATTTAGTTAATTACACGGATTAAAATTACTTACATTACATTTAAGGAAAAGAATAGACCGAATACAATCATAGTGAATACCATGGATAAAAGCAGTAAATCAATGGACGAGACTGTGAACCTTCATTGATTAAGTAAAATAGAGCATCTACGATATAAATCGAAATCGGTTTTAACAGTATACTTGTTTTTATTTTGTATTTTCATTTAAACCTCCAAGCAGTATTATTGTATGGATTTTTTTTCACTTTGTTTCACCATATATTCACTTTTTCGTTATTCGCTCTTACAATAGATAATGTAACATGTGATAACATTAAACCTGTAAACTATTGTACTAGATTCTACATTGTTAATCTTTGTATAGTGGAAAAAAAGAGGGAAATTAACCAATACTTTTTGGTTTTCAAAACATATTTTTTTACAAACATTAAATTTGAATAAAAAGTATATATATATATATATATATATATATATATATATATATATATATATATATATATATATATATATATATATATATATATATATATATCAATGATTTATAATGTTTCAGATGATATAGATTTTTTTCTTGCTTTAGCAACTTCCGTTTATTTATCAAAAGATCTCATTTTGAACAAAAAGAAATATATAACATATAATCAATATTAGATTAAAAGAAAACTCTAATCAAATGATCATAAATCACTAAATCAATAAAGAAAAAAAACAGAAACATAAAAATTTCTAATACAAATGAGTTGGAAATAAAATATCATATGTGAAATGAATTCATGTTAATATAAATTATAAGTCGAATTTATTTGATTGATTAAAAGTTATGTAAGAAGTATGGTAAATGTTAATTTATATAAAAAATCTTTGGAGATAATATAACTATACACAATATTATTTTTTTTCACAAAAAAAAATCAAGATTGTTTGATACAATAATGATTATTCACTACTTGTTGAGAGTTGGTTTACTATCACTCTGGTCGACGGATAATTTAGTTAGATCTCAAAACTAAATGCAATTTTGATTTTTGATTAAAGTATATCATTTTCAATTAATAGGCCATATATTCGTAACAGGATACGTTAACTATAGTTTGGGAAATCCCTACAGCTAAATTATAACTAAGAGCTAAATATATAATTTTGTGTTTGAAAAATGAGTCACAGTATTGTTATTAGAATATAAACTACATTTTTCTAAATATACAGTTCAAATCACAAACCATAAAAACAATTGCAAAGTCTTTTTCTATTGCAGAAAAAGGGAAATTTCAAACAACAGAAAATGATAAATGTCATCGTTCGTGATTGTTATACACTGAACTTTTTATAATAAATCAAACCTACAGAATGAACATATTCAAGCAGCAAATCTAAAATTTTATCGAATAAAATTTAGTCTTTTCTTACAAACATAAATTGTTAGTACATATATCACAAGGTCTACACAGAATCCTTCAAATCGAATTTCCGGTAATCAGGATACACTGGCCGTGAAAAAAAAACATCGCATATAATAACAGCAGTTAGTCAAGCGCTGATCTGCATAGAAAAGTTAACATTCATTGTCATTCATTTAAGTAATGAGATCAGCGAATCTGCAAAAACTGTCATGTTCGTGCACCAAAATGCGAACTAAACTATACTTCACTAGCCTTAACGACAGGTTGTAAAGCAAAGTCTATTTTCATTCGTGGAATAATGATTGATAACTTAGTGGGTAGCCATGATATATATATATATATATATATATATATATATATATATACATATATAATTTTAAAAATCTATTCAAGACTACCGAGTGAAAATTTTTTTAATTCACCAAGATTGAAATATTCGGTAAAATGTGGGTAAAATATCGATTTAGAGCCGAGTTTACACGTTATGAGTAACAAAGATGATTCCTAGTGGTCGAAAATCGTTATACGAACAACTAATGTAGTGAACAGAAAAACAACCAATACAAATAACCTGAACAGTAAGATAATTTCAAGGACAGAACTAATGCCCTCAATTTATAAGTTGTAAGGTGGTTTAGACAACAAAAATTTACTGCACAGATATTTAGGACGGTAAATTTGTAGTCTAGCGACACTTAAGAAATGGAATGCACTAGAAATTGCTTCATGTTACATGTTCAGCAATTTGCACTCACAACACAACACAACCTAGAACCTACACACCTCTATTTCATTAGAACGCTAGGTCGAAATTTAATAGAATATATTTTCAACGTCAGTCATTTTGTGATATAGTGAATTTTTGTATCACTGGAAAATCAGTAAACTTCGTATTCATAAGTCCATGCTTCAAACCGATATCTTTGTGACCAAGATTACTTATAAAGGGTACAAAATATTATCAGAAAAACGCCATGATTTGTTTCCAACTGAGGTGGATATTGACGCTCCAACGCGATACATCCCCACATTCTACGAATCTATAATAATTTAGGATCAGAGAAAAAGGAATGGTAAGTATTTGAAATACTTCATCTCTGTTATTCAGGAATGTAAATGACCAATCTCTATTGAGATATAAGCATCCCATTAGATTTATATTACCATGTAGTCAAAGGTTTCACTAAAGTTAAACAGTGACTAGCAGTGGAATCCAGAACAAGTGTTTCGTCCAATTTGGGATTCATCGTCTGGATGCACCTTCGGCCCAACATTATTATTAATATTGAAACCCAAACCCACTACCTTTTGTTTTAAACGTTAACGAGTCATCCACTAAGCCACTAACTTGTCTAAAAGATGCAAAGGAATTTATAAGAGTTTGAAGTATCTGTTATCATTCAGGAGTGAAATTAAAATCTTAGGTAGGTTAGCATCTTCAACACCGGAAATTTCAAGTAGGCACGTGAACATTAATTAGGTGAAAAAAATGTGTATAGTAAAGTGGTTCAGTGTATATGCTACATTGAAAATACAAGCTGAGTGTAAATAAATCCAATTAACTTGTTACAGCCTATATATATATTTACCTCAACTCTTAGTACATTTAAGAAGGTTTAACAGTGGAACTTAACTGACCGAATACATTCAACGAAGAAAAAAAATCCAAAAATAAATATTTCAAAAAGTTAAATTAAACTAAAGTTTGATATTTTGTTAAAACATACATTTATCTATCAATTTATCTATAAAGTAAGTTAATTATTTTGAACCAGTATTTAACGAAATCACAAACAAACAAAAAATGTTTTACGATACACTTCATAAAATAATAAACGTACAAACACACATTCACATATCAACGCATACACAAATGTAGATTTTTGAAGAACATCACAATAAATCATTATTATTATTATTAGCAACAGTAGTATAATGGATGATACTAATTATTTATTAAAGATATGAATTTTTATTTTATTTTGTGTTCGAAATGTTAAATAAACAAAAACTTCCATTATTTATGTATGTTGATATTATTCACCAAATTGAATATTTCAATATTTAAGAGAAGCAAAAGACCACAGAGACATTACATCTCAGTAATAAAAACACAGAAATATGTATGAAATATGAATTGAAAAAGAAGTTCTACAAAATATAACAGATAGTATAATATATTGGGTAGAGATAGCTAGATAAATAAGTAGTAATGATGCCCATTTGTTAATCTAAACAAACAATAAGAGAGGAATGAATGATTTACAAAGCGTATACTGAAGAGACAAAATAAGCTGAAAAAATGGCAACAAGATATTTTCTCACTAATACTACTATTGTTACTGACACCACTTACTGTACGTTAAAGACATACAAGAAAACAAAAAAAATGCCATACAAGGAAAATAATGGAATTTTATAGTAATAATAGTGGATTGTGAATAAAATGTACACATATCATGTATCTGCGAGCTGTCTTTTTCATTAATTGGTTAGATTTCGAGATGTGAAACAATTATAAGCAGACACCTGATTACGAAAATATTGATTTAGATGTACACACCCCCAGATACATACATACATAGATAACAGTATGGGTCAGAAAAACAAGGAAAATAGATGAAAACACTTGATAAATTTGTAGATAAAATCTTAACGCAACTTAAAAGCTTTACATTTTAAAGAAATATCTATCCATTCAATTGAATAGCGAAAGCACTCACGCTTATCATCAAATCAGTGAGTGAACACTTGTTAGGACCGAAATAAACAGCAGGACGCAGTGCAACAACCTTAAATTTATTGTCATAAGCTCTGATGAAATATATATGGAAATTTTCTATTTTCCTCGCGAAAAACCCATTTTTTATATTTATGTGTGTTTAGGCATAATTATCATCATCAATGATATCTTTATAAAAAAATAATCGAACAGTCGAGATTTGATGAAGAACGCGAAAATAACACAAAAATAATGCTTAGTGAAGCTATACACAAATTTGAAAGGCATGTTACATAAGTATGTAACATGACAGAAGGAATGAAGGTTTAAATGAAAACAGCATACACACACACAGAAAACGTTTACATCAAAAGTGAGTAGAAAGTGATAAAATACACTTCACGTAATGGGTGTTTGTGTACACACGAAAAAAGGTTTCGAATTCAATGATTAATTATGACAACTTGGAGGTGTGATACATCGAGCATCATCTTCTTCATCCCCATCTTCTAAATCTAATGGTTTTTGAATAATATCTTTATCATCAATTGAATAAGTTGAAAATCGTTTCTCTGATGAAGATATCCGACTATTGTCAGCAGATAAAGAAGGGATTGTATGATAATAGTAAGGATTTTGTTGTGGACTTACAGCAGCTGGGTAAGTTGGCTTTACAAAATGATCACTATTTAAAGATGATGTTGTTGGTGTAGAAGGAGAGTTTGAAGTATGAACTGGATGTGCCTCTGAAGTGTTTACATTACTGATTGGAGAGCAACAACGACCAGAACAATTACGTAAGCTCACCACATGGTTAGGATTATGCGATGAAGTTGAGACTAACCGACCACTTGTTACAGATGTAGAATCAGTTGAAAAAGGACTAATTAATGGTTGACCACATTCCCGACAAACTCGTGTACCTGAATGACCACTCACACCAGCAGCTACAGCAACAGCAAATGCATGGCCAGGACCATACAATGACGAAGATGTACCACCTCCAGATGTCCAAGGAGCAGGAACAGGGGTTTGAAATGGAGATGTACAATCAGAAATCGTCCTTAGGCGAGTGGAACGACTAGCTTCATTAAACTGTCTATTAAAAATAAAGGCAAACATAGTGAGTACATTTTCATAACTGATCGAAAGCTATGCACAGAACTAATTAAGTGTGCAAATTTACGTAAATCAACGATTTAGATGAGAAAATTAGAATTCCATTCATTGAACACATTACCTCTGGTTGATTTAGCATGAATCTACAAAATTCCTCAAATCGTTAAATAAAATATGCCTAAATACAACACTGAATACAGTAGGCTAACGAACGTAATCTATGTGCTATTTAAAAAAAAGTAAGTTATATATTTTATTTGAGCACATTCTATAGAAGTTACACAACCTTGTATTGTTGCCATTTATGCTAATATAACCTAGTGTTGGAATTTTTCCATTACATCAACATATGTATAGGAGTGTATAGCTTAATAAAACGTTTGCTAACAAGAGATTCCCTAACTAAATTTCATGTTTCTAATACTTCAGTAGAGACTATAGAAGCATAAATATACAGCTAATGAACTTTACCTTTCATCTTCCATTTCCAAACTTGATTCGCTTTCACTCAAATGTCTAGACAATGCCTCACGTCTTTCTTTTTCAATTTGAAGCAATTTTCGCAAACGACGGTTTTCTTCAGCGACTGATTTTTCCTCTGATTCATACTGAGGCATCTTACAAGCAGACTCCGCTTCATAGCGTTGAAGTAATTGGCGTAGACGACAAACTTCATCACGCAATCTATTAACGTATGATGTCGAAATCACGTGAGCAGAAGTACTAAGAACGACATCTGATGACTGATTAGGTGTAGATGACTCTTGAGAAATGACCACTTTATGCACAGTGCAAGGTGTTGAAGAACTTCTTAAAGAGTGTGAGTGACTTGAAGTAGTTGGGAGTGACTGCAGACCAGCACTTCCACATGGACTAGCTGCACCACTTGCATTAGGATCTGCAAGCAAGAAATATTTAAGACACAATAAAAACAATCACTGAGTAACGTTAAAGTGATGCATTTAAGTCTAATCAAGCATGAAAATTATTAACGTACCCAAGTGCCAAGGTTTTATTTACTGAATCACTTGAATATCGTATGATTATGTGTTATTCTAATCAAATTTGTTAGGTTAACTAAAAAACAGGACGTTAAGGTCATCATCATCCTACACTGAATATCAACTAAACAATATAATCATATTACAGCAAAAATTGATCATAAAAATACACATCACTTAACAATAAAACTTTTAGTGAGACCAAATTTATTTTTGATTCCTTATTAAATATTTTTTCAAAGCAAAATATGTAAGACACGTTCTAGATAAGATAAAAGAACTACATATTTAAAAGGAATAAAGAAAGGAAGCGAAATCCAAAACTATTCACAAGTGCTGCGTAGTTTTAGTCGAGGGCCTTAAATTCGGTAATGATAACTCATAATAATAATGATATTAATAATAATAACACTTATATTATGGTTTTCAGATGTGGAATATCTTTCCACTCAACCAGCGCATTTACACTCATAAACGTATAATTCATACTATTATTACATGTGACTAGCTAGCTGACTAATACAACAGTGATCAACCAAAAGGATGTTTTAATACTGTACAAGCGAGTGGCTACCAGAACTCAGTAGTTAAGTGGATAATGCGATAGTGTTTGGAACGAACGGTACTGGGTTCAAGTCCTGCAGTGCACCTCAACTCAGAGATGCAGGCACATCCGGCTGATGAGTCCCAAATAGGAAGAAACGCTCGTACTGGATTCCACGGCTAGCCACTATCCATACTTGCTTATAAAGCTTGTGACTTAAGGTAATATGGAGGCAGTCAGCAAAGGATGCACATACGCCAACAAGAGACTGATCAATTCCAGTCCTAAACAACAATGGGAAGACACAAGCAAACAACACCAAGTTGATTTAAGAGTAAGTTTGTTTAAACTATTTAATTTGATAACTTTTATCCTATATTGTTGATATCAGAAGGACAACAATTAGAAAGCTCCTTTGATTCAGATATCAAAAGTTCTACAGTCCCCATTTTCATGCCTTTAAACAAACCAGTTATGTATATAATAATAATGACAGAGTAATATAGCTAACGTAGTTGGTTTTATTGATGTTTTTCTACTTAAGAGGTGATATTATCCAGTAGCCTAAACTCAGTCAGTCAGTCAGCTACAACGTAGAACCATGCACTTATGTGCATCGGTCCAGGTTGCCATACCGCATCAGCACAACAAGATGAACACCGGATTCATAACAGTGGTTAGGTAAAAGGTGGTAATATATAAGAGAAAGATTGCATATAGAGATATAGTACAAGAAGAAAGAATTGGTTAGTAGAAAGAAAGATATGAAGCGCTTTTAATCTCTTAGTTTAAGGGAAGAAACCGAGTGTATACACCGACGCCATTGTGATCGATTCTGAGCCATGTCACCAAGAGTCTCCAACCATTGGTTACGATAGTCACGCGGACCCCAACCAAGTAGTCTGCATCTACCAACATGGCTCAGACTAGAAGTTAGTGACTTCAAGCACTGATGCCACGTTTTGGTTTGGCCGCCCCTAACTTTCTTCCAAGTTAGGGCCTAAACTATGGCAGGTGAAGTAGGAACTTAAACTTGAAGTCGAATGCTAACTACATTTGAACGATTGGTCATATAACCGAGAAACGACTAGTTTAAAACTAATAAAAGTATCTACGATTATTTTAGCGCTGGTTCAGAAACACTCCAAAGTTTATTTGTAGCTTGTTAGCAATATTTTTTGACAGTAACTGAGCTCTACATACTGAAAAACACAATGACTAAAGTACAACAAATGTACACATAAATTAACACTAACATAAATACACGCAGTTGGATAAAAATGTCCACATAATAATTGATGGTTAAGATATTAATTAAGATATGTTAGTATTAAGCTTAGTCATAGAATTTGATAAAAATTTTCAAAATGAATATGTCTAGCAATTTTTATGGGGGTTTGTGTTTTTCATAGGTTATTGATAATCGTCACTGAATTGTTGTTACTTAACAATTCTATTGAATGAATGGGCTTAAGATTGCCTTTTAGTTAATTAGTTAGTTAGTCAGTCAATCACAAGCAACGCAGAACCTGAGATATATGTATGCATCAGTTTAAGTTGACATATCGTATTAGGACACCAAGATACAACTATTAAGACAATAGCAGAGCAGTAGAAGTAGGGATAGTACTAATGGTAGTAGAAAGTATTCAGCATATACAGTATGATTCAATAAGGAATTCATAGAATAAGAAGTTTCATACACATAGTTCCCTTTATTATCTTAAATAGAGAAAGAACAAAGATTGGTGCAGAATAATATGAATTCATTTTATTTCGTTAGGTTCTCATCAGCTGCTTACAACCTAAATTATTTGAGACAGTAATAAATCTTTCTTTACCTTGGTAACAATAATCCCCACCCTTTCTATTCATTTGCTCCTATTTATTTATTTATTACGTCATTCACTATTCAAACTCTTTCTGAAGTTTAAATTACATCATACATAAATGATTGATTTTAATTCATATTTTCTTTATTACTATTAATCTATGAGTTCTAATCACTATTTCAATGTTCCAGAACTTTCCCTCTCTAACTTTATTTATTTATTCGAATCAAACATTTTATGAGCTCATTAACTCTATATGAATATTTTCTACATCATCATACACATGTATTGATCCTTAATCACACTCTTATGTATAAATATGTCAATATCTGTAATAATTTGAATCTCAAATAATTCAGGTTGTAAGCAGCTGATGAGAACCTAACGAAATAAAATGAATTCATATTATTCTGCACCAATCTTTGTTCTTGCTCTATTTAAGAATAAGAAGTGTAAATTAATCTAAAGAACAAAGAGTGAATGCACCTGAGTCATTGCAAACGATTCTGAACCGCGTTACCGAAAGTTTCCAACCATTAGTTATGATAATCAACGGGTTCGAATCAGGTAGTCTGTACTTTCCTATAAGGTGTAGTCCAACAGATAATGGGCTACTTGTGATAAAAAATTCATTGTATTTTTAAGTAATTACTAGCAGTGAGATCTAGAATACATATTTCATTCAAATGATGGTTTAACAGAATTCAGTTTGTGATGTAAAATACTTTCGAATATAATTGTACTATAAAATGATAATTACCCAACGCATCAATATCCATAGGACTTTGAGGTGGTAGTGTAAATGGTGCGCCATTACATTCAGATACATTCGATTTCGGGGTTAAATCGTTGGGGATAGAAGAACACTGACTTGATTGGGGAGCTTTTTCCTCACTACCGGATGAAATAGATATTCTACCAGGAGAAACAGGACACGTAACAGCAGAAAAAGAGGTACCAATTGAACCAGATGAAGTATGTGGTAGGTGACTGTGTTGTCTGAAAGAGCTACGAAGACTACCGGGTCCACTACTGATAGGACGGGGAACTGTTGAACTGTTATTAGGTATACCATCTGAAATACTGGCAAGGTTTTGGGCGCTTGAAAGGCTGGGCAGTGGAGCTCCAACGGATTCCAGTTTCTCCTGGAAAAATAGAAAATAATTTATTTAACAATAATCACAATAGCAGAACAGTTTTTTCAACGATTGATTATATGAAAGTAACCAATATAAAGGGCTGTTTGTCGATGTACTGCTACATGTCGACTTAACTCCATGAAGCTATGATGTGTAATGCTATGTATCAAATCAGTCAGTCAGTCAGCTACAACGTAGGACCAGGCACATATATGCATCGGTCCAGGTTGCCATAGCTCGTTAGCACAGCAAGATGAACACCGGATTCATGGGAGTGGTTAGGTTAAAGGTGGTAATGTATAGGAGAAAGATTGCATATAAGGATACAGTACCGGAATATAGAATTAGTTCGTAGAAAGAAAGATATGAAGCGATTTTAATCTCTTAGTTTAAGGGAAAACAGGGAGTGTATGCACCGACTGTTTGGGTCAAGGATATTCACAATACTTAGTTTTTATAAGTCAACATCTTTATGATAAACCTTATGGATGAAATATTTAATTGCTTGACAAATTATTTTGATGTGCAGTTGAATGACTTTAAGACTGGTATGTTTTATTAGTTGGTCCATTAGGGTGCTTGATACCTGTGTGGTCGCGACACAGGATTGAGATGTACTATTCAGATTGTAGCGTTAAAGCCTATACGGTGTCTGGTTCTCCTGTGAAGCGGGATTCAGTTGTATTGCTCGGCTTATAAAATTTAAGCCTGGGCGGTGTCTGGCTCTCCTGTTGAATGGGATTGAGCTATCAGTCAGTCAGTCAGCTACAACATAGGACCAGGCACATATGTGCATCGGTCCAGGTTGCCATACCGCATCAACACAACAAGATGAACACCGGATTCATAACAGTGGTTAGGTAAAAGGTGGTAATATATAGGAGAAAGATTGCATATAGAGATATAGTACAAGCAGAAAGAATTGGTTCGTAGAAAGAAAGATATGAAACGATTTTAATCTCATAGTTTAAGGGAAGACAGGGAGTGTATACACCGACGCCATTGTGATCGATTCTGAGCCATGTCACAAAGAGTCTCCAACCATTAGTTACGATGGTCATAAGGATCCCATCCAAGTAGTCTGCATCTACCAACATGGCTCAGACTAGAAGTTAGTGACTTCAAACACTGATGCCACGTTTTGGTTTGACCGCCCCTAACTTTCTTCCAACCATTTCCAATACCGGATAGCATTGCACGTCGTGGTAATCGGTGTTCGGGCATACGTAACACGTGGCCCAACCATCTCAGTCGATGAAAATTCACAACCTCATCAACTGATTTACCATCCTTTCCTAATACCATGCGTCTAACCTCACTATTACTTACCCGGTTATCCCAGCAGATACCAGCAATATTTCTAAGGCATCTGTGGTCAAATACTAGTAGCTTACGAGTGACTTCTACTCTTAATGGCCATGTTTCGCTGCCGTAAAGTAAGACAGAACGGACTGCCGCGCAGTATACTCGTCCTTTAATTGATAGACGGATATCTCGCCTTCGCCAAAGGCGACGTAAGTTGGCAAAAGCCAAACGAGCTTTTCGAATCCGTGATGAGATTTCGTCCGATACCAACCCATTAGGGCTGATCAGACTTCCAAGATAAGTGAAGTTGTCAACGCGTTCGACCACTTCACTCCCTATCCTTAGTTCAGGTGTTAACGCAGACCAGTCCTGAAGCAACAACTTGCATTTAGAGGGAGAGAAGCGCATTCCAAACATCCTGGCATTGTTGCTCAGTGCTACCAAAAGACTGCATTTTATCAGCGTCTTCACCAAACAGGACTATATTCTAAGTCGAAAAGTTGACCTCCTGGAAGGAGATCGATACCTGAGAATTCAGTAGACGAGAATGTTATTTCCATCAGTAGGTTTATGATGAAGTTAAACAGAAATGGAGAAAGTGGACAGCCTTGACGGACACCATTTGAGGTTGCAAAACTAGATGACAGTTCGCCATAAGCTCTGACTTGACTAGTAGTGTTCGAGTAAAGAGCCTTTACAAGGTTTATGTACTTCTGGGGTACGCCTATCAATGACAGACACTGCCACAGAATCTCGCGGTCTACCGAGTCAAATGCTGCTTTTAAGTCAAGAAAGACCACCATCGTCGGACGCCGATAAGTATGCCTGTGTTCTAGAACCTGACGAATGGTGAATATGTGGTCGATGCGGCCACGACCAGGTCTGAAGCCAGCTTGGTTTTCTCGTGTTTGCAGTTCACGAGTCTTAGTTAGGCGTCTGATTATTATTGAGGTTAGTATTTTAGATACTATATTTGTTAAACTAATCCCTCTGTGGTTGTCACAAGATGATTTTGATCCTTTCTTATATATTGGGACGATAAGTGATGGCGACCAGTCAGATGGAATAACATCTAACTCCCAGATCTTAGCTAAAATATTAGTCAACCTAACCGCTAAAATTGGACTACCATCCTTAAAGACTTCTGGAGCCAATCCATCTGGACCAGCTGCCCTTCCTCGTTTCAGATTAACTATAGCCTTTTGAACTTCTGCTAGAGTTGGGGGACCTACTTCAATGTTCCATTCACACTGTCTGGGAATGGACGGTAGTTGTAGAGTCGCTGAAGGCCAGCTGAACTGTTCTCTGAAATGTTCCGCCTATCGTTCTAAACGCCTGGACTGGGAGCAGATAAGGGTGTCGCCTTTTTCCGAAATAATCTCACTTACACTTGACTTATTAATTCCAGTTTCTTTTATTAGTCTGTAAAGCTGTCTTGTGTTCCCTATAGTCGCCGCCTTTTCCATCTCTTTTGCTTTCGTTGCCCACCACTGCTCACGGTCGTTGCTTAGACTTTTTCTTAACCTAGATCTGATTTGTTGTCGCTCTTCATCACGTTCGGAACCTGATGGGACGAGTTTGCGAGAATCCATCAGTGTGATAGACTTTGAAGAAATCCACTGGTTCTTTGTAACTCTGTGGGTTAAAACACTAATAGATTTCATTGCTGTTTCCACAGCTGTTTTTATATCTTTCCAAGCAACATCTGGGTCAGCTTCGTCTTCAGAACTACCGAAGTGTGAACTCAGTTGTTCTTGAAACCTATTTTTGGTTTTCTCGTTACTCAATTCAGTTCTAATTGGTCTTTATAATGTGGCTTTTTTGCGTCCGGTTAGGCGCAAGCAGATGCGTGCCCGTATTAGGGCGTGGTCGGAGTCCAAGCAGGTACTCCAGAATGAGCGACAATCTTCTACCGACCCTCTCCAACGATGACTGATGGCAATATGGTCTATTTGAGTCCATCGTTGGTTTGGTGTAGGGGGTCGCCATGTTAGACGATGTCTCTCCTTATGCTTAAAATTTGTGTTTGCTAAAAATAAGCGATTGTCTGAGCATAGTTGCAGCAGACGATCACCATTATCTGTTCGTTGTGCCGGTATACTAAAATACCCACCCAAATGCGTTTCTGTTTGGTTTGGTACACTGGGATCCTGTATGCGTGTTTCGGAGACACAGCATACATCAATGGTACGAGATTCTAAGGTTCTAGCCAAGGAAGCCTGTTGACCGATTTGACATAAGGTGCGTACGTTGAAGGCTCCAATGTGTAGTTTGGAGCGAGGTTTCAGTAGACCTGGGACAGTGTTTTGAGCACTAGAATCGTTGGCTATGGTGACACTTGAGGAAGAAGTCGAAGGAGGAAGTTTAGGGTTGAAAGTCGATGTAGGAGGAATAATAGGAATTGAAGAGGAAGGGTGATTATGAATACAGTGGTCTTGAGTGCTGTTAGAGGTATGAGGACGGTTATCACTTCCCGGTTGCCCACACCGTGGAAGGGTTCTTCTGGTATCAAATACAAAAATCAACTATACCTCAGAAAACAAGTACAGAATTACAATGTCAGCTTTTAGTTACAATTTTATTGTGATGAGAAACGGGATAATTGAACTTACTATAACAAAGTAAATAAAGGATTCGAACCTGTAACCTACTGGTTTAAAGTTAGTTGCATTATTCACTAAGTCACTGCTTTAAATTGGAAATTCTAGCTGCCAAATGACTACACTGAAGTATCAACTGTCCCATAATTTTTTTAATTATAGCATTGTATCCTAATTTGATAACACTGATGAAGTAACAGACTCTGTAGAATGAAATGTCACGATAAACCTGAACAGATTTTCTCGTTCAAGACTGTAATTAGTAGTACAGATTAGAAATACTTTAAATAGTATATGTAACCTTGAAAAAAGTAGACAGAAGAAAATGCTAGGACTAAACATGAAGTAAACCAGTTCAGTGACCTATTATGGTATAGTATATATCACCAAAGCCTACGCTAGATTATCTAATTATTACAAATTATTACACCTAATAATCGATAGGAAGAAGCTTAACCGTTTTGTTGCAAGATTCACACAAAAAAAAACATAAAACGGAAATTTCGAGTCACACACCATCGAACAAAACAAATAAGTGTTATTTTGCATTAGTAAAATTAGAAATCTAAATTAGTAGTATGAAAAAGGAATGGTAAAAAAACGGTGAAATCATTCGAATATATCAATAACATCATAAACCTTTTAAGTAGAAACAATAATTTAATTGATTTAATTGACATTTTCGAAAGGCATCATAAAGACGGATATGCATTATCATTACATTAAGTGTTTGTATTGTATGCGCGATTATCAGCATATAGAATGACTCTACAAAAAGTCATTACAGTATTCAGGCAATGCTTATTTCACTCACGTTTTCATGGTACCGAAATTGAAAGAAATACAACATGGAAGGAATCATCAAACCAATAAATCAAGGCTAAGAGATAATAGTGATAGAGAGGGAATGTAGATTACATCTAAATACACAGAGGATTAAACATGACTTTATAAAACTATGTGGGACTTAGAAACAAACAGTACAACAAACTAAAACATGGCATATAATTAAATAAATAAATATGAATTAGACAAAAAGTTTACTAATATTCGTCATAACAAGAATCTCATTTGTCAGTGAACAGAAAATTCCTTACGAAGTACGATAGCGTAGACTAATGGCTTTTTCTTGAGGGATTTAATGAAAATATTCAACATTTCATATAATAAAAAATAATAATAAGATTCACACACTAACTCGTAATATTTTCTTTTCAGATTCAAGCTTTTCCATCTTTTTCCATAATCTGTTCACTAAAGCTTCCTGTTCCTGCTCAAGTGCATTCTCTAATTCAATTTTCTCTCTGCGTAAGCGATCCAAACAATCCTGTTTGTGATTCATATCCGATTCTAGTTTTTCAATTCTTCTCATTAATTTGCTAACCTGGAGGAAGATGAATTTTTTACGAATTATATCAATAACAAACATAGTTTCAACACAAGTGGGTGAAAAAATAGTAAGAATATATGTTCAAAATTAGGACATTTTCACTGTTAAAACAAGGACTTTTATTAGCCTAAAAGCGGTATTCATTAGAAATCAATACAGAGTAAACAACCACACAAAACCAGAAAAGTAGAAGTAGCATAGCTCATTTACAAAGTACAAGTTTATGTACGCTTTTAAACATACGTGTGAGGGCTGGTGACATTTAATATGTACCCAATCCGAAGTGACCAGGTACTCGAAAACTTAGCGCTCTAACCATTAGGCCATAGCTTATTCATTTTGCACTTAACAAGTGCTTAGGTTTATCGGAGAACATCTATACACGCTGTGATGAGATTACCATAACACTAAAAATATTACATGCAATCATTATGGACACAAATTCAGAAGCACAAACAATATATTTTCGGTAATTTTTGACTGTTCTCACTTTCTTATCTCTTAATATTTTATTATGTATACTAGAAGCGAGAACCAAAATAAAACTAAAATATTTGGATTTAGATATGGAATTTTCAGTGAGATGCTTTTAACGCGGCTATACAGAATGTATAAAGTAGCGAACACAATTAGCATGAGAAATGACGGTGTTTGGATATAAACCTGGGAACAAGAACATAATTATACTTCACTAACATAACAAACATCGTAAAAGGCGATTTTCGACTCAGAAACAAAGATAACTAGTGTTTTTCCGAGTCACTTAAACATGATGGAAAAGATTTAACTGAACGCTGAAGCAATAAGCCTGATCATGATATACTAATTACGAGAAACTTTGTGATTATATATATTGCCTCACCACAAAAAGATGTCAAAAACCAATTATACTAGTGAAATTTACCTGATTTTCTTGTTCGCGCGCTAAAGTACGCTCCAGCGCAACTTTTTCTTGTCTGAGTTGTGTGAATTTACGATTAAGCTCATTGGTAAGACATTCTTCTTCCTGTTCATAGTTTAATGCGAGTGATTCTTTCTCTTTTTTTAACTCAGTGATCTTTTTCAACAAGGTATTGCTAATATATTCTTCTTCCTGTTCTGCTTTCGCTTGCTATGAAACAAGTATACGTGATAGTTACGGAACTTACTATACTAACACTATTACGCCTCAGTTGCTGATTTAAGTCGTTCAGACCTTTGATCTTGAGTTTCAAAGTTTCTACCTCAGTTTTTAAAACTCGATTTTCTTGCTGTAAAGATTCGATACGTCGTAAAATCTGTTCATTTGTAACCAATGAGTCTTTGGTACCATCAACGGAACTCGCATCAGATTCGAGTTCTAATTCAGAAGCACTATCTGCCATTACTAAGAAAGATAAGTAATATCGAACAAGAATATAATACACATTTATCTGAATTATGAGAGAATAGATATATGTTTGTACACAAAACTCACAAAAAGAAGACGCTATTGTACTACACCGCGTATAGTAAGTGACGATCAAACCTAAATCAAAACATAATAATAACACCCGAGTGATTAAACGCTATATTTTACTTTATTGCTTATCAAATCCAGAATTTAACAGGAGCAAGTGACGTACTGATTGCTGGTAATAACTGACTATTTGAACTATATGACGGATAGAGTATATCTCACTAGTTTATTTTCATTTACTTGAAACTGTCTTACTTTCACTTGTAGCCCCCAAAACCGGTCTTAACTGAAAAGTTTCAGTCTATCTTGATTTATTAAAATCTCACTTATCAAAAGTTAATTTCCAACCCGACTCAAATCAAACATTGAGAAAACGTGTGCAATATAAGCCTGCGAATCAGAGACTTGTGATTGCAATTTTAATATAACTATGGAAACGCCGAAATCTGATTTGGCTCATAATGAAGTTACATCAAACAAAAGAAACATTTATGCTACTCGACTTAATATTAGCAACTTGTAAGCTAGTAAAATGTCTACACTTGAACATAGTGGTTCCGTAGAAAGTGGACAGTTTGTATTTCTCGAAGTAACGTCAAACGATCGTGCAGCTAGTCTCGTTTAAGAAGATATTGCTCACCATCGACATGTCTCTACAAAAGTGAGAGTGAAAACAGACATTTGGTGCTTGTTGATACAGAAATCTAAGCCGAATATTTGAAGGTGACCCCAGAAAAATCATTTATGGTGTTCGAACAGCTGAGTAGTAAAACAGACGTTGAAAAAATTACGATGAACTGAAAAGAATAACATGAATACATTTCTATGTAAACGCGAACAGCTAGAAAGTAATTTGAGGTGATGATAATGACTCGTCAATTTATCAGCCTAAATCTAATTACGTTAAAATAAGATAGGTTTAGTGCTAGATGTGATTCCACTGGAGATCATACATTTTGGTTGCCCGGTGCTACCAAATATATCACAAAACCAAAGTCGTTGACAATCACGTTGAACATTTGTAAACAGTAAGACATATTTGGGGATGAGTAACCTGTGATTTGCCCCCAAATGCTTTCACATAGCCACGCGTATATAGCCACTGTCAGGGAAGTCCTGCTCACTGACTTCCCGTGACGGGGGTATTGTTTACGAAATTGAGAGGACGAAAAGTGAATGTTCGACGCCTTAACCGGATTGGTGGAAACGAAGAGTCCACCTAGGGGAGTTGGAAAACCCTGATTACAAACTAACAGTGCACATTGTGTTCAGGACCCTAGAGGAATAAATGGCGTATGAACCAATTATCGGTAACCGGCTACAATGGGACCGCATCTGACGTTGCTCCACTGCCTCATGGATCAGACCTTAAGGTTGAAGGTTCCGATCGTGGCACCCTAAGAAAACCACCTGCTTCGGTTTGGGCACCCGGGCAGTATCATACCCCACACACAAATCAAGTGACTTATGTAGCGTATATGTATTAGGTGCCCCTTTGTACCAATATTCATGTGTTCAAACAAACAAATAAATAAATAACCCGTAATTTAATAGTCTTTTAAAGTGCAAAAACATGATATTCCTATCCATCCTATTACTAGATGATTTCCCTTTTTCGTACCTCAAAATTGGTAATCTATTTATTTGGAGCAGTTTTCAACGCCCCGTTTGTCAACGGTAGTAAAAACATGTACCTGGTAACCTAACCTAAAGTGCAATTTCAGCCGAGCTAAAAATCGCATCGACCTGTATTTCACTCATAACAAAAGACGTGAATCAATAGTATAAAACGAGAAAACAGGTTAAAAAAAATAATGCAGAAATAAATAACGGGAGATTTGGAGTGGATTCTTCCAGCTATATTGATATGATTTTGTCATGATATCTAAATTCACGAATCATATATTTATACCTTGCATAGGGCACTAACTACACCTTCCTATGCAAGTCGTCATATCATAATTCATAGACACTAAATTATACAGACGAAAATACGAAGCAACATACTTTTCCCCCTATATGTATTCAGATATACCACATACAGCATGATGAAAAATTGTACACAAAACATTTGTACCTTTACAGAAACTAAGCGAAAAAGAAAGGCATATCTCTCAATAATCAAAGTGGTCTAAATGATTGACTATCTTACTCTGTGTTTTTGAGTCAGGTGTTTATGTATACTGTATTTTGAAGAATATGTTTGAAAAGTGGGGACGGCACCTTAAAATTTGTTCGAAATAATCGGGAAACACAATCATTTTGGTACCTTCGTACAATAAAAATATTTCCCCTGTACATCTTTTCTAACAAAGAATGTTCAGGGAAGAGAGCAATATCCACCAATCAAAAATCTCACATAACTAGTCCGTGTCGCTTTAGAGCTGGCTTGGAAGTATGAGCGAAGTAATTGAGCGCCCTAATCAACTCCGGTAGGTTTTGAAGTTAGATACTGAGTATTAGGTAAGGATACCAAATCGGTTGATAAGGTAATGGATCTATATAACTCAAGGTGGTTGGAACATATATTACGCATCTACAACAACCATTTACCTCGACAGGCGATGTCTGTTTGTGTAGATTGGAAAAATTTAAGGGCTATCAAATGAAGACATGACATCATTCTGTAGTCACTGACTATTGGTTCGAACCATGGTGAATATGTAGATTACCTAGTTAGAGTTCACGAGGTTATCACAACTGATGGATGTAAATGTTGGGTAACGCTGTACAAAATCAGTCTTAATGTCACAAATGTAGTTACTTTCGGTCCTCATTTAGATCTTAATAATTATCCTGAATTTTTCCATTACATAAGCCCATATTTTCTTCTTGAATTATGTCATCCATATTTACTCTTTTCTACTACCACTAATAATGTTGCTACTTCTACAATTCTGCCATTTTGCTGTGCTGATGAGCTGTGGCGATTCGGATCGATATACATATACCCCAGACTTTTTGTTACATATGACTAACTAACTGACTAGTCAGCATGTCCATAAGTTTGATTTTAGTTTTCAGGACCGATAACATCGGCTGGAAAGTACCGTGTGTTGGGATTCAAAACGAGAAACAAAACATATTGATTTTACATCTTACATCAGTTTGACTAAACATTAATCCTTTGTCTTTCATCTCTTCATGATGAACAGAAACACTAAATACTTATTTAATCTTCGATTTTATAATCATGTTTACTTAAGAGTTCAGTAAGCTGAGTTTTTCTCTGAATTAATGGTACCGAAAAGAAAATATTTTGATATTATTTAAGAAGCCTTGGTTGTCTAACTAATCCTAGACCGACTAAATGAACATTTGTTATTACGAGTAAGGCATTAGCTGATTGGAAATATTTATAGATACTTATGGATTATATGAATTAGAATGAACAAAATTGACTTCAGGTAGGTTTATATTTTATCACTAGTGTGAGTTACACTGCAGTCTAAAAAGGAAACCACCGCAGTCGAACCCACTTTTGAAATTCATCATTCCTTGTCATTACTTATGAGTTTTACGCGTTACTCACTATATTTCCCCGTAAATAAGGTCCGAACGATCAATTAGATGAGTATACAATTTTGCTAGCAAAATACGGAAAGCTGGCAGATCACTACCTGAAATGTGATTATGCAACACTGAAGGACATTTCTAACTAAATATTTGTCACTTAGGGGAGTGATTGGTTATTTCAGTCCATTATAGATAAAATAAGACCTGGTACGAATGCATAGCACAACTGACTGACCAAGCAGAGGTAAGTGTACAAAAAACATGAACGGGTTAAATAAAAACTAGCTAACGCTACTGAGCCTAAAAATATTAGAAACATAACAATATAGAGACGAGAAGCACAAACAAGAGTGATATCACTTGATCACGACACAGTAAAATACAATTTATTAAAGACAAACGGAACTGAAGATGAAATTGAGTTGATTCGGTTAAAGAAGAGCAAAGGATGAGTCAACAAAGGTTTCGAACTTTCCCCAATGTTGCCAACTACATAAAATATGAGAATCCTGACCGAGAAAATCGCAGATACTACCACGGCTACCAAACGATAGAAGTAGAATATGCTGAGGACCTCAAGTAAGTTATCAGACAGAAATAATGAATAGTTATGGAACGAGGTAAAACAAACTAATAAAATGACAACAGACGAACAAACTTGACAACGCCAATTGATGTTTACATGCTGAATTATTTGCTAAAGCGTACAAAAGAAAAGGTTAGGGTTAAGAACTACAAGACAGGATAAGGTCGACAGATATGGAGGGCTCGGGATAAGAAAAAAGGTTAGGAGTAAAGCTTGGAGTTTGGATTTAAGCGTTAGAGGTAGTAGTTGGAGATAAGACGGTTTTGTGTTCGGGGGAATCAGTTGATGTTAGAGTGTGGAAACCTTTATAGGGACACGGACAAATGACTGTGCCTCGAATTGCATCGGGTAAGGTCAGTGGGAGATTGACATCTTAGGTACAATGTATTTCAGAAGCAGGTGTTTTTTGTAACTTAGCTTACTAAGTGGCAAGACCATAATTTTAGGACGGACAAGCCAGATATGAGAGCGGTCACTGGGTTTTTGCGCAATATTTATTCATCCATACGGCTTAATGACATTCTGTCATTATACCTGACGCCAGTTAGTAATGAAAAAACTCTAACTGTAATTTGTTACTCTAATTTAAACACCGAGTCTTAATTCATTACAACAATTTGTAACCTAGATAAGTGGATAGTTTCTAAAGGCCACTTTAATACCACTCAAAGGTCGTCCATAAATTACAGTTTCGCGAGTACATCATATATCACACTGGTATGGTATACTTTATGAGTCTAACACTAAGCAAAATGCCATAATCTCGCCGACATCAACTTCTTTCCAGAGTTACCCACAATGCCAATCAGCACTTTGATCAAACT